GGTCGTTCCCATGACAATACGTATGCAGCAGTAATTCTCTTCCGACAGAATTGTCCAATCGTGAGTAAAGTACCGGTTAAAGATGTTTGACTTTAGCTATGTAGGAAACCCGGGTGGGTTTTTATGTCCCTAATTGTGAGAACAAGCAACCACCCCCCCCCCCCCCCCGCACCCACTTTTTTTTGGTTCTACCAACAAGCGTGTTGTAAACGGTAACTAATTAGGGGTTCGCTGAAACCAGATGCTTCAGACCCAAAGACGAAGATATCACAGTCTAGCTGTAAACTTCAACACAAAATGTCATCAGTATTTTTTGCAACTGACTAGAGATATAAGTGGAAGTTCTAATCGAAATAACTTCAAGCTTAACAAACATGAATATAGACAACATAACAATTAACATTTTGGTTCTCCTTTGGAATCTCCAAACTGGCCATGCAATTAACGAAACACATTTTGGGGTCATTGTGTTGTGAGCTGTATTTAAGTACGCTCCACTCAACGTCTTCGTGAAATAAACAGTCCTGAGGTTAACTCAGTTGACACATACACAGACACACACGCACACACACACACACGTACACACACCAATCTGTGTTCTCAGCATAATGAAAAGCTAGGGATGTAATGTTAGTCTTGTGTTTACGTGACCAACAAACATTTTACGGATTACGTGATGAGTGTGAAAGAGGATCGTTAATTTCCTTTTTATTTTTTTTTTTTACATTGTGAACACTGTCTGAAAACTAAAACGACGTAACAGGATAGCAAGCGGTGGAATCTAAAACGAATTTACAGAATAGTAAGTGAAGCTTATTAAATAAATGATCATTTTTAAGTCAGTGCCGCATCGTGTCTGTGTAAGGTTTTCTCATATTTCATACACGGATGCTTTCAGTGATTATTGTGGTCAACATGACGCCGAAACTGAACTTAGGTCTGCAAAATTAGGTTGCATTTCTTGTCTGACTAACCCATTTTTAAGAGCTATGTAGGACAGAGAGGGTCATGTCTATTTGTTGGAGCATATTGGTTGTATAATTTTTAGGAAAACAGTGCTGTGAATTTCAATCAATGTCACAGTATTGTGTTCTCTTCTAGCAATACATTCAGATAACAAGAACAGTGAAGATTCCCAACAAGAAATTAGCACACGGAGAGCACTGATTACCCGTATTTGTAGGAGACAATCTACATTCTTTAATCAATTCTTTACAAAAGAACCAATTTCTTCGTAAGAAGAGCACTGATTACCCGTATTTGTAGGAGACATTCTATATTGTTAAATCTTCACAAAACAACCCAGTTCTTATTAAGAAGAGCATTTGTTATCCGTATTTGAAGGAGCCAATCTACATTCATCAGTTATTTCTTGAACAGAACCGAGTTCTTCGCCCGGAGAGCATTGACTATCTGTATTTGAAGGAGCCAATCTACATTCATCAATTATTTCTTGAATAGAACCGAGTTCTTTGTGCGCAGAGCGTTGACTATCTGTATTTGCAGGAGCCAATCTACATTCATCAGTTATTTCTTGAACAGAACCGCGTTCTTCGTCTGTAGAGCATTGACTATCTGTATTTGAAGGAGCCAATCTACATTCATCAATTATTTCTTGAATAGAACCGAGTTCTTTGTGCGCAGAGCGTTAACTATCTGTATTTGCAGGAGCCAATCTACATTCATCAGTTATTTCTTGAACAGAACCGCGTTCTTCGTCTGTAGAGCATTGACTATCTGTATTTGAAGGAGCCAATATACATTCATCAATTATTTCTTGAATAGAACCGAGTTCTTCGCCCGGAAAGCATTGACTATTCGTTTTTGAAGGAGATAAGCTACATTCTTCAACAATTACTCGAAAGGAACCCATTTTTTTTCGTACATAGAGCACGTTTTACCCGTATTTGAATGAGACGATCTACATTGTTTAATCATTTCGCGAAGAGGGAAAAACTGGATAACTTCTGGACAATGAAAGTAGCTACAAGAGGAAATTAGGCAGAAGGAGACCATTAGAGGAGATGTTGAATAGTTTGGCATAATGCAATGGAAGAATACCTTATACCAGAATTAACTGACAGTAAACGAGACAGATGGCTGTAAAGAGACAATGTTTACGCAGTAAGGGCTATATGAAGAAGATCATTCAAATCGGACTATCATCCCTGGAATGTGAACAAGAGACAGCCCTGTTTAGTGTGTTCATATCTTCGCATGCTTGAGGTAAGTGCATTTCGAGTTTTCATAATTTAACAGTTTAACTGTACATTTAAATCTTCACGTGTTGAATACTAATGATAACCAAACTTTTCATTTGTCTGTGCTGTAGAATACCTGATATTTTCCTTCTTTACGCCACACGGTGCAGTTCACGTTACCAGGCCCATCTACACACTGTCTGGCCTTTCTTCATACTTTCTCAGACTCTTCTACGTCGGAGGGATGTCACTGTGTCTTGTCTCCAGTTACATCAGCGCTGATGTCTAAAGTTCTATGCTACACGACGACACAGCTTTCAACGACCCCAGAACATCTAGAACTGACCCTAACCCAACCCTTTTACCCAGAGCCTGCGCCTAGGTCACACGAGAGACTTTTAAAAGAAAGCGGTACAACATGACACCCCTCTGACCTGAATCAGACTAAGAAAGTGTGTAGATGAGCACAGAAACGTGAACAAGGTACCGCCACACAAAAGTAGGTTGTTAATGAAATAGATTAAAACGTAGATAGGCGTACACAACGTACTGTTCTTGTCGGCACCTCCCCTTCTTTTCAGGCGATACTGTTCCATAGTGCTATAGAGGCGTTGGAAGAATCTTAGCCCATGCAGATGGCGAATGTGAAAACTAGCTCGCATTAAGAATCTTCCACAATAAGAGTACTACATTTCATGACATTTGTTGACATCACATCTGTTTGACATGTTTCTCTGCAAAGGTTCGTCTTATAATATGTCTGCAATCATTTTCTCCTGTCTCCATTCTCTTTATATTTTCTCCCTTCAGTTTGACATGTTTCTCTGCAAAGGTTCGTCTTAAAATATGTCTGCAATCATTTTCTCCTGTCTCCATTCTCTTTATATTTTCTCCCTTCAGTTTGACATGTTTCTCTGCAAAGGTTCGTCTTAAAATATGTCTGCAATCATTTTCTCATTTGTCCCCATTCCCTTTCTATTTTCTTCCTCCCCATGCAGTGCGACCAACGACATCGCGGCCATATACTCAGTACGCTGACTTACTGCACTGACTTAATAAAAAAAAAAAGTATTATTTTGACATTTGAAAACGAACCCCAGTCAGCAGCAGGAGCATGCTTCCTGCTCAGTACCGTAAGAAGGCATGGTCGCGTCGGACGGGGTAGGAGTTCCATACTCACACCAGCATTTAACACGATCCTATATCTCAGTGTACAATGTTCCAAATGGTTTATGCTAAAAATTCAATAACATACTTATGGCATTCCATAATGTACCTCTGCCATCTGTCAGTTTTACTGTTCAAGTATCTTGTGTATTCGAGAGGCCTCTGTTCAGCGACTTTAAGACTCCCCAGTGTTATTTTATTACAAACGTTGTGGTGTTTAAATATCAAGATACAAAACCACTCCGACCCCAACCCTAACTGTTAATGAACCAGTGCACCAATAAACCAAATGCAAGTGCAGTAATCAATTTACTAATAAGTGTTCGTTTATCTGCATTGGTCGAATAGAGGGGCATTTTGGAAACCGAGTGGTAGAATTTATCAGTAAGTGGCTCCACCTACAGGTGGGTGGAAATTCATTAGAGAACCTAATTTATGTAAAAAGAGAACCTAATTTATCGACCGGACGTCATTTTCCCAACACGTAGTTTATAAAGATTGCTGCTTTGGAGTTGTTTATCATAAATCTAATCAGCGTTTACTGGAAATAACTAATGGCTTAACAATAAAATAAAAAAAAAAAAAAAAGTCACAATTTCGTATAAACAAAAAAGAGTTGTTTTGAACGACAAACGACAGATTTGGTTACATATATCAGTAAAAATGTTTGTTTTATCAAAAATTCACATTTATGTTCCTGTGAGTGGTTGTGTATGTAGAGCTCTATGTACTACTTTGCCCTGAGGGATATAATGCTGTTTGCATCTAGACACTCGCCTGCGGATCTGAAAGTCGTGGATTCGGATCTTGACGGAGCCGGACTTCGTTCTCAAGTCTACCTAGACTTGAGTAGGTAGCAGGTACAGTCTTGGGAAGCAAAGGCGGCCGCGGTTACGCTGACCACACCACCCACCCAATGCCAGTTTGTAAATAAAATACACATCTTGCCCTATATGCCTAAAACGCCTGAACGCATGGAAAAGGTCCTTTACTTTTACTTTATTGTTAAGACTGTTCTGCCTCTTTCCTCCACCCTACGCTAACGGTAAACGGATCTGTTTCAAAGGAAAGCTGTAAAAGAAGAAAATGGAGCTTTTGCCTCAACTACAAGTAGTTTGTCTATATAGTTGATGGCGGTAACGAAAAGAAATGATGTGGCAAGAGACACAGCATTTTCCACACAAGCGCTTTCTAAGTGATTCCATGAGAATGCCTACAATGATAGAGACAGGATGGATTCGAAGAAAATGTTGGAATCGTTGACAAAATCTCGTCTCAAAAGATAAAGTTTCACTTTGTGACAAGACAATCTATGGGGGTAAGAGGTAATGAACGAGCGGGCTGGCTTGCTGGCATTGGTCACGGTAGGTACAGGAAAATCAATGGACCGAGCCGACATTTTCAATGCTCTCAAGGAGGCAGGGCGAGAAGGTGATTCAGGAGACGACCTTGAATCGGCAACACTCAAAAGACTACAAGAACTTCAGCTCAAAGAGAGGTGTCGCCAAACATAACACCACACAGGTAGCGAAAGAAGAATAGTAAACCAATACAGAACTAGTGTGCAGTGAGGATAATCTTTCGATTGACTATTAACTATAACACACACTGGATACATTAAAAATAACGTACGTGATGTGCAAGTGATCCCCGTGTATCCATCTCTACATCCTGAGTTGCACGAGCCAGTGATACCATTGCAGTTTTCTCTGGGATCAGAGCAGGAGCACTCTTGAGAACAGTTCATACCAAAAGTGAATTCTGAGCACACTGAAACAGTCATTATAACAGCTCCTAATGAAACTTTCTTTACAAGTAAATAAAATAATCATATAGTGAAAAATGCATTTAAGCATTTTTTCACAAATTATATTCTGCTGGTTTTGCTGGGTTTTGCTAGTCACACTTGCTATGTCTCTCCACGCCTCCCCCCCCCCCCCTTTTTTTCAGTCGTGTCTGCGGCGTTTTGTCGACTGCACTGAAATGACGAATGACTGATTACATTCAGAAAGGTTATTTTTTTATGTGAGTGCAGTGCTGGTTTTCTTGAATTGCCTTTTGCGCCAACAGTGAGCAGGAATTCTGATGTGGCACTTTTAGCGTCGGCACATCTGACAGCTCCATTATGCATTTATACTTTTCATGTGCAAACTTCACGATTTTGCTGAGGCTGACAAGATTTTCACTAGTTTTGATCTGGGAGAGTAAAGAATATTTTGTTGGATTTTCTCTGGCATTGGAAAGAAGCAGTTATAGGGCGACCCGTCAGCAAAGATTTTGGAACTTCTACTAACTAACTTGCCTTTATCATGGGCTATACTACCGGTGCATGCTTAAAGTATGCAACAGAACATTAATGCTGGAAAGGCAGAAAGTGGAAAACGTAACGAACTTAGGCCCAGCCCCGCCCAGCTACACACTTATGAGTGACGAAATCGGGCCAGGACACTCTGACTGGACCTTCATTCATGCGTGTTAACTTTTGAGACACGTAAGTTTAAGTGGCAGGGATGTCAGACTGGTGCGGCGTTGTATTGTATCGACGCTCTTACTTGCGACCACGCGTGCTCTATATTACAGGATATGAGCGGTTTTAATGACCTCATAGCATGTTATATCATGTACAACTGGCTCTAACCCCAAACCCCCTACCCCACACATTGAACCTAGGTTCCACGACAGAGTGCATTCTACATCCATCTAACGAAGATCAGCCTGAACACTCATCAGTGACAGATCAGTTAGTGTGTGGCTGGGCCTGAGTTCGTTACTAATTCCCAGAAAGTTGCCAATACGTATTGGACACATGGCGTGAGTCCCATAATTTGTTATAGTCCAGTCAGCGTATGCTGGGTGATGTGGTGAGCTGGAGCTGGGTGATGTGGTGAGCTGGAGCTGGGTGATGTGGTGAGCTGGAGCTGGGTGATGTGGTGAGCTGGAGCTGGGTGATGTGGTGAGCTGGAGCTGGGTGATGTGGTGAGCTGGAGCTGGGTGATGTGGTGAGCTGGAGCTGGGTGATGTGGTGAGCTGGAGCTGGGTGATGTGGTGAGCTGGAGCTGGGTGATGTGGTGAGCTGGAGCTGGGTGATGTGGTGAGCTGGAGCTGGGTGATGTGGTGAGCTGGAGCTGGGTGATGTGGTGAGCTGGAGCTGGGTGATGTGGTGAGCTGGAGCTGGGTGATGTGGTGAGCTGGAGCTGGGTGATGTGGTGAGCTGGAGCTGGGTGATGTGGTGAGCTGGAGCTGGGTAATGTGGTGAGCTGGAGCTGGGTGATGTGGTGAACTGGAGCTGGGTGATGTGGTGAGCTGGAGCTGGGTGATGTGGTGAGCTGGAGCTGGGTGATGTGGTGAGCTGGAGCTGGTTGATGTGGTGAGCTGGAGCTGCGTGATGTGATGAGCACAAGTTTGATAGGTCCATTTCATATATCACTTATAATGAGAATTTGAAACTCCTGAAACTATATCGCGTTTCTTGTACGTTACACTAGCTACATGTTTCTGTATGTTAATCGGAACTCGAGGTATGAAATTGTCAGTATCACATATGTCATCTTTTCGTTTCCTGAAATGTCAAGGTATGCATATTTAGGATCCAGGAGCTAGGATTAAGTTTTTATAAACTTTCATCGCATGCGGACAAGTACGCTAATTGTAAATGCTGGCACACCTGCTAATATTTCTTTTATATGTTTGCAATAAAGCCACCGGCACAGTTTAAAAAAAAAGAACAAAACTATTTTGGGGCGCGGGTAACAAAGGGAAAGCAGAACGATTTTCCTCTTTGTTGAATATCCCAAGTAGGGCAGCCATCTTTAATCTCTCATTATGACGTCACTTAAAAAATGCATAAAATTTTAAATTCTAATGTTAGATCGGTATTGTTGTTCGGAGCGCAAAGACGGAGAACAACTAAAGTAACTTCTAATAAACTACAGACATTCATTGATTGGTGCATACACAGCATAAAGGGAACTAACTGGTATGATATAATTACTAATGAAGAGCTTTGGAAGAGAACTAAACAAGTTCCAGTGGACCGAGAGGCGAAGAAAAGACGCTCGCGATGAATAGTACACATGTTGAGAAAACCTATGAACAATGTAACTATAATTTCCTTACACTGGGTCCCACGGGAAAAAAAACACACACACATATAGAGAAGGGAGCTAGAGAGTAAAATTAAAAAGATGTGGAGGACATGGGGAGAGCTGCTTTCGATAACGAAGGATGGAACGAGTTAGCTTGAGGTGGTTAAGGGTCTTTGTTCCATTGGGAGTAAGAACGCAGAAGAAGAAGAAGATGACGTCGCTATGTTCGTCTTTACCGTGATGTTACGTGACACATGACGTGTCACCCTCAACAGCAGTACTGACAGGTTACAAGACAACAGCACGGTTACTGCATATTTTATCAATCTTAAAGTTTTCATTTAAAGCCCCCACGTATTATCCCACGGTGAAATTTAAATAAGTTGGAGAAATAATTCTTCCTTGCTGGCACTTCTCAATTCTGATCCCAAGTGAGCGCCCCTTCAATTGGTTTGTTTTCAAAGAGGTTTAGTTTTGCCTCTCTCAAGCATGTTCTTTTTTAAAATTGTGTTTTAGGGATTTAAAGTTTTTATTATATTTTAAGTATATTTATTATGTTTATTTGCCATTCAAGGCGTCATTATTATTATTATTATTTTTATTATTCAGGCTAATTGAGGGGTCCCAGGACAATTTTTGAAAGGGCTGAACCGAATGTCTTATCTGTGTTGGCGCCTCGGACACAAGTGGGTATTGCTTAGTGATTAATGTATTATGGGGTCTCACTCCATCAGCGGAACCAACACCCACTATCCTACGTGCCAGGTGACACCATAGCCAGTCCGCCACTGATGATGATGATGATGATGATGATTATGATAATAATGAGGATTATGTTGCTGACGATGATGATGGTGATCATAAAGATGATGATGGTGATAGTGAGATGATGATGATGATAAGGATAACGGTGATGGTGATGATGATAGTGGTGATGATGGTGATAATAATGATGATGGTGATTGCGATGATGGTGATAATGATGATGATAATGATGATGATAATGACGATGATAATGATGATGGTGAAAATGATGGTGATAATGGTGTCAATGACGGTGATGGTGATGATGGTACTGGTGATGATGGTAATGGTGATGATAGTGATGATGGTGATCATAGTGATGGTGATAATGATGATGTTAATCAGTGTCTTTTAAGCTACATGCCTAAATCTGATGCTTATAAATCCCATATCAACATTTCTTCTTTGTTTGAAGCTCGCCTTGTGTCCAAGCATGTCTCAGAGACGACAGATATGAGAAGAATAGCTTTTGTTTAGTTGAGTTGTTTTTTGTGTGTCCATGCTCATTGCCCGCAGCCTGTTCCAGAAAGGCCCGCTTAATCACTCGATCTGCTTCTGTCTTGTTTCCGAGTGTCATTTATTCTGACATGGATTAACACGTGAGCAGTGATTTTAAAATACATCAACGCAGATGTGGAACAAAGCGGACATGTTAATACAGCCATTATGTCATTGATTTGTTCTGAGACAGCTTCTTGAACTGCTCGTCTTGGTGCACAGGGCGAGGTTTCAGTAGGATACAAACTGAGATAGCCGATAGCACACTATACCCCCCCCCCCACCCCCACTCACCTCATTTTCCTCCTGTTCATTATCATCATCATCATCACCATTTTCGTCATATCAGCATCAACATCATCTTATTATGCCAGTACACACCACACATATCTTACAAACACAAATGTTGACAATAATGGTCATGAAATCCCTTGCTAAAATTGCGGAAGACTTTTCTTAACGGTGGTGGGTTTTGTTAGTCACACTCGCAATCATCATGGGCTGTGAGTCCCATGCCTCCTTATACCACAATATAACACTATCGTCTGTAAAGAAGAAAATGTGCCAATCAATCATGTCTCACAGTTAAAGCCTCTATTCTTTTCTATCCTGCAGTCATGTCGAATCATGGATGAAATACAGTCCCACACTTGTGGCCTCTCTAAATAACGGTCGTTTCAGGGTTTCCCTCGAATCCCGTAGATTTCTCCATTCATTTTTAGAATATTTAAATAGTAAAGGACCATTTTAGACGTATAGGGCGTATAGGACTAGACCTTTATTATATAGATGGGTAATGTGGTCAGCATCACACCGGTTCGCCTTTACTTCTCGAGACTGTACCCGGTACCCACTCAAGGCTAGGTCGACCTGGAAGCGAACCCAAGACAATCCGATATGCGGCAAGTGTCTAGCCGCTCTGCCACGACGACTCCCAATCATTTGTTTGTTTGTTTGTTTTAGTATCCAGAAGCCATGAGTTGTTAACCCTTAGGCTCGGTATTATGGATATCGCAATCTTTCGGCATTGATTCCATTGTAAATACCGTAAATTTGGGAGAAATGTGGCTTTTCTGCCTACCCTCAGGAGTGAACCCGGACCACAAGGAGTTCGTCACCCGGTCACCGCGCAATTCGGTTTAGCCAACTACGCTAGAGAGCCGGGCACCCAATCATTTAAAATACTAATTGAATAAATTGCTCGACGGTATACATCCCTGTCTAACAGTTGTTTGATGTTGTGAAGTATTGCCTTAGCTTAAAGATGAAAGACTACTTACCGTACACATATACTTCACACAGGGTAATCTGCCCCTGTGTGTTCATGACTCCGATATACCGGCCTGTGGAGGGAAGATCGCAGCTGAACTGGGTGGCCTTGTGGGACGCAGGGATGAGAGCACACGGTTTCCCCAAGAAGGTGTCGACATAGTCACTGACATGAACTCTGATTCTGCCTGGCCGAGCTGTTTGGTTGGCTAGATATACAAGTTTAGAGAGATGAGAGTTATTCAAAGTACTACAAACCCTAATTAGCCGCCTTTTACGACATACTTGTAATTGGCAGTGAGTCTATTCTTTTCTTCCACAAAAGTAAGTTCAGGAATCCACACGGGGAAATAGTGTGTGTTGGACCGAAAAGGCACATATATCGCAGCTGATCTGTAAACAACAACATAGCGTGCCTAACCGCTGTTTTTTTTTTAGGGCGATGGCAGAAGAAGCAGAAGACTATATTGGCTTTTTTTTTTTTTTTTGAGCTAACTAATCTCATAGTCCACGAGTAACAGAGTTCGATTTCCGACACAGAGCGCTTTATTTAGAAAAAAAAAAACAGAGGTACTTTCCTGGTTAGTGAATGTGTTTAACAACTATATGGTCCTTGAATGCTAGAGTTAGATTTTCGAGATAGACGACTTTAAAAAAAAAAAATTATCGTTTTCCTGGTTTTCTGACAGTAGTGTACGGGGATCACATTATAAAAGATAATAGGTCCTCGCCACGTAGTTACCCCATCCCCACCCCCACCCCCAGCCCAAGACAGCGGTGGGCGGATTTGGAGATGACACATTTCTTTTAAGCACTCCATAAGGCAATTACTAATACATTAATCATCGTCATCAGGTGTCTTGCGGACTGGCGTGGGCGATCATGCCTCTCCATAATCCACGATCTCCTGCAGCATGTATCAGTTCGTGTGCCGACATACCTCCATGCCATGCAACAAGACTGTCAAGAATCTTCTCTCGTTGTCTTCCTCTATCCCTCCTTCCACAGATCTTTCCAGTGGTCACAACATGTTCTATTTCCCCTATTCTCAAAACATTGCCTCCTTCTGATGTCTGTGATAAGTTGTCTTCGAGCTCCCGCCTCTTTCAAAACCTCTTGGTTGCTCTTATGATAATAAGATACACTAATACATTACAGAGATTAATTAATTAACTAGCGCCTGTTCAGAAAAGATAGAATTAAACGGTATTATAGAATCACTAATGTAGCGCTTTGGGAGAGAACAAAACAAGTTCCAGTGGACCAAGAGGTGAAGAAACGACGCTGTCGTTGGATAGGACACACGTTAAGAAAACCTGAAAACAGTATAACTGGAACCCACAGGGGCATAGAAATAAAGGAAGACCAAACATGGAGACGGGAGCTAGAATGTGAAAGTAAAAAGACGGAAAGGACAAAGGAGAGTGCTGAAAACAATAGCGAATAATAGAACGGCTTGGCGTGAATTGGCGGAGAGTCTAAGCTCCACTTGGGCTTAGAAGGGAGAAGACAAAGCAGAAGAATCAGAAAATGGCTATCTTTTTCACATAATTTCTCCTAAAAGAATATATATATATATATATATATATATATATATATATATTATATATATATTATATATATATATTTTTATATATATATATATATATATATATTTATCGATTGCCCTTTACACTGCACAACACATTTATGCAGCGTTTAGCTTAGTCGAGAATATCGTTC